GGGGACCCTGCTACACCTGGACGAGGGCCAGAGAGACAAGCCAAGGCCAGTGCCGCGTTCCTCCCACGAGGCACATATGTTTGCCGCGGCCTTGCCTCAGCCGCGCAGCCAAGACGCACTGGGGCATGGTGCCTGTCTGCATATATGGCACCTTCGCTGGCCGCCTTGGCCGAGAGTTACTCGGCGGGGCTGTGCTGTAGCATCGTTAGGTAATGAGCTGCCAAGGTGAACCAAGAGTATTAGGCCAGCTCGCCACCTAGGAGACTCAGCCGTGGCGAGTCTGCGAATTGCTGTGTGAGCAAGCCGATCGCTGTAAAGCGAGGCTGCTAAGAAGTGCCGCGTTGGCCCCACTCATGCGGCAAGGTGGAAGGTCGAGCCCCTGATTGGCAACGACTCTTGCACAGGCCCTCCAAGGGGGGCCGGTGAAAAAACAGAGTGACTAGGTGGGCTGCCGAAGTATGTATTGGGCTGGCCCCGCCCCTGTGTGGCGCATTGACGGTTGCATCATGGGCGCCCATCCCATATTACCTGAGATGGTGCCGGCTGGATGCCGCACAGTTGAAGGCCTTACGGGCGCTGAAAGAGTTGCAGCTGCAGCTGAAAGGCCTGTGCGGGCCGTCCGCGACGGGGAGGTGGGTGTGCCTGGGCGCTAGCCGAGACCAGACAACAGAGACCCACCTCCGCGCGGCCCCTCGCAGGCACACAGGGACCAAGGGGACCCTGCTACACCTGGACGGGGGCCAAAGAGATGCGTCGGGGCAGAGGCCGCGTTCCTCTCATGAGGCACTTGTGGCTAGGACTGTCTAGGTAGTGAGCTGCCAGGGCGAACCACGAGTATTAGGCCAGCCCATCCCCTAGAGACTCCGCCGTGACGAGTCTGCGAATTGCTGTGTGAGCCTATCCGATCGCTGTTTAGCGAGGCTGTTAAAATGTGCTGCGCTGGCCGCACTAGTGCAGCAAAGTGAGAAGTCGCGCCCATGAGTGGCGACTACTCCTGGATAGGGCCCTCTAAAAGAGGGGCCGGTGGAGAAAAGAGCGCTAGGTGGGCTGCCGAGGTAAGTATTAGGCGGCTCCGCCGCTGTGTGGCACATTTACGGTAGCGCCATGGGCACCCATCCCATATTGGCCTGAGATGGTGTCGACTGATGCCGCAAGAGCTGCAGTGGGAGTGTGCACCTGAAGGCCTCACTGCAGCGGAATGTATGCCGGCTTGGCCGGCCTTAAATTGGAGACGCGGTGTCTCCTTTATAAGAGTTTGGCTAGCAAAGAAGGCTTGGGCTGAATAGGTGGTGGGCTGCAGGCAAACCAGAATCTGAGCATTGTGCTAACCCACCACCTATGCGTGAGGACTCAGCCGTGGCGAGTCTGCGAATTGATATGTGTGAGCGGCGCTCAGCCGCCTCGCTGTTAGCGGGGCTGCCCAAGGTTGCAGAGCCGCACAATGACGGGAAGGGCTGGATGCTGCTAGACTCGCGTGGCATACAACTCAGCTATGCAGGACGGCTCGACCGACCTTGAGTTGGAGCGGCATGGCTCCAGCTGTTTAGGTGGTGGGCTGCCGAGGTGGAGAGAAGACGCTGAAAGGATGTGGAAAGGAAAGTATTAGGCGAGCCCACCACCTAAGTATGCACGCTGCTAGTGGCGCCGAGGTCGCTTAGGTCGACCTAGAAGGGCGCTGACTGATGCGTCATTAGCGTGGCTCGCTCAGGCACTGAAGGGCGACGGGTTGAGAGTGCGGGCGGCAGCAGAGAGCGCCGAGAGACCTGCCGCTGTCGCCGCCGCACGCGCCTGGGCCTCTTGCGCGACAGCCTGCTGCTGGTTGTAGTGGTTCCTCAGCATGGCCTCCACCTCAGAGATGGTCGCCAGGCCTGGGGTCTCGATCCACTCCCAGTCCCAGGTTTCGACGACCTGGCCGTCGATGACGTCCAGCGACTTGAGCTTCCAGACGAACGGGTATAGCATGCCGTTGGGCATCTTCCATTCGCCCGGATAGGTGGAGGGCCACCACTTTTTGAACTCGCGCGTGGCGGCCGTGTATTGGGAGCCCTGCCAAGCCGAACCAGCATAGGTGTCCCCTGAGAGGCCGAAGAGCTCCCGCGTGTCAGGCGACGCCCTGCTGGCCTCGGCCGCACCCGCCTCCGCCGCAGCCGCAGCGGAGCCATCCGCGGGAGGCATGGGCACCATGGCGGCGTGGGGCGCGCTGAGAGAAGGGGGGGAGTGCCGAGGAAGCAAAAAGAAATAGCCCATAAGCCAACGGCGGCCAGATGTGAGTGAAAAACCTAGCTGGCCTGTGCTAGCATCTGTGTGAGGAGAACCCTCCTGACGGGCCGACTGATGCACGCCTGGCCTGGTGCGGAGTCTATAGGGATGAGGATGTTGCCGCTGCGCATGTTGACCCGCAGCGCCAGACCGGTGCGGTAGGGTATGCCCGTGCCAAATAGGATGGGCCGTGCATCCATCTCCTGAAGGATGGGGAGGTGAAAAATGCGCGGCCTTTCCACAGAGGATGGCAGCCTGGTCTCCTGCCCATGGAGTTGCTCCATTAGGAGTCCTACATTGATGGGCAGTGGGGACCAAAGCGAAATGGGGCCTGTCGTTATCACTACCATCCACTGCACCGCTGTAGGCGGTGGTGGCGCTGCTTCAGTGGGGGCGCAGCGGAAGTCACCGTGCTCGAACTGCGGCAGGTGCTGCGCCTCTTGGGTCGGCATGGCCTGAGGGCTTAGGGTTCGGGGAGGCGGAGGATTCGAGCGAGGTGGGACAACGGGAGGCAGAATGGCCGTACCATGATCATGGCCTGGAAGTCTATAAGGATGGGGCTGCCGGCCGCTGCATCCTGCAAAAGCCTGTGAGGGCTGAGGGAGGCCTGCTCCCAGGCCCCCGATTGAAGTAGGACCAGAAAAGTTGGTTCGGCACGTAAACTGAAACTAGCCCTATGGTGGGTGAGAAACGGGCATCGTAGGGACCATCCCCCGCAGCACATTGGGGGTAGATGTGGGGTAGGTTGGGGGAGTTGGCCTCGCGCCAGCGGCCATGCCAGCGCTCGAGTGTGCGATTGACGGCCGTGGGCAAATCTAAGTGAAGCAGAGGGCCCACGAAGGAGCGCGCGTGTGGCCATGCGGGCGGCCCGCTCTCGAGCTGCCATGTGGCTTGCCACTGGGGTGCCGCATTATGCTGGCACACCGTGGTGGGAGACAGAATGAGTGCGTGGCGCCTTGCGCCGCCGCTGAGAAAGCGGTAGACTTGCTGGTGAGCCAAAAGAAGCCGTTCAGCTAGATGCTTCCATAAGGAAGTCAAGCGAGAGGCTGGATGCGCGATGCTTCGCGGGTCTAATTGTTGCCCGGGGTACACCTCAGCAGCGGGCACGTCCTCGTCTGCATCGGCGTTGTCCAGGATATTGGGCTCGCTCCTCATGGCCTGATGGGGATGAGGCAGGAAGGGGAGCTTATAGAGGAAAGAGGGAGAGGTTAGGCTTAGGCTGGGGGCTAGCTGCCTGGCAAGGGTCTAGCGCCTGGCAGCCTCACCTCCTTCATGAGGTTTGCGCGGCCTCCTGGGCGACAGACGCTGACCGCAATGCGAGAGGCTTTCGCCATCTCGCAACTGCATCCTGAGGCGCTCCCTGTGTATCCTGTCGATACGGAGCTGGTCCTGCCTATGCTCTTCTTTGAGCTGAGCAATTTTATTCTCGTGCTCCTTGAGAAATGCGCTGCGCTGTTCGTCCGCTGCTGCGGCTGACGCAGCTGCAGCTGCGACTGTAGGCGGCAGGCGCGTAGCTACATGACCAGAATGGTGAGACTTACGAGCCTTGTGATGCCTTGTAGGAGGTGAGGCTGGTGACGAGGCCGGGCCGTGGGAATCCTGCGGGCTGCTTTGAGCCTCTACTGGATCTCGGCGCTGTGGCATAGGCTGCTCGTCCGAGGCTGCATCAGACGCTTTGGCAGGCGAACG